AGTGCTTATTTAGAGATGTTCAAGGATGCTGACACCAATCCTTAATCACCTGCTCACTCATCCAGGAAGAAGGGGAGATCAGTTACTCTACTTTGATTGTGTCAACTCAAACACCATGTTACAAAATAAGCAAGCTGTCATAATGAAAAATAAGGCTCCTCTATCCAGCACCAATTATCTTCGGTTCTTCACCACCAAGGCTACAAATGCTATAAGCATATGAAGAGAACACAGGAAGCAAAGAAACCACATCTCCAGTAGTAGCACATTGTTCGAGTTGAACTATTCCTCTGTCGGGTTATTTCTGGTGTTTCATTCTAATCATAAGGAATTTAGTTCTAAATTATGCACTCAAAGAATATGTGCACATATCTTTATATAAATTCTGACTGTAGATGCATGGCAAAAGCTTGTTCTGTATACTCTGTTGACACTCAGATCACCTGCAGATTCCACAAACACAAGCCTCTCCTAAACACAGTTGTTGTTGTTGTTGTTGTACGGTGCCGTCAAGTTGAATATGACTCTTAGTGACCCTATCAATAACAGATCTGAACCTTGTTCTACGCTGTGCCATCCTCACAATCTCTAACACACTCAAACCCATTTCTTTATGTCAATCCACCTGTGCCACCATCCCTCCACCTTTCCAAGCATAATGTCCCTCTCCAAGGAATAGCTTCTCCTAGCAATATGCCCAAAGTATGTGAGATGACGCTTCACCATCCTTGCATCCAAAGAGTACTCTGGTTCCACTCCTTTTATTTTGGCTGCACCTTTTAAAGGCACATCTGTTTGTTCTTCTGGAAGTTCATGGAGTATTCGGTACTCTTCTCCAACACCACAGCTCTAAGGCATCAGTTCTTCTGCCATCCTTATTCGTTGTCCAGCTCTCAGATGCATAGCAAATGACTCAAAAGGTCATAGCCTGAATCAGGCATACCTTAGTCCTCAAACTGACATTATTGCTCCTCAATAATTTGGAGAAACTGAGTTTAACATCCTTGAGGGAACTCTGGTGGCCTAGTGGGTAAGGAGTTGCATGCATGGTTCAACCCAAAGACAAATGGCTCTAATCTATCAGCTGCTCCAGGGAAAAAAAGATGGGCGATCTCCTCTCATGTGATTTACAGCCTCTGGAAATCCACTGGAGAGTTTCGACTCAAAAGCAATGACATGCTCTTTGTTGAGTCTGTTACAGTTTGTTGTCTTGTTTTAATTCTAATTTATACAGAAAAAAAGCCTCAAATCTACAATCCTGGATTATGCAATGCTGTGATGTGGGTACTATGTAATGATCCCTCATGATCTGATACATCAAACTACTGCAAAAGGATTAAGGGTGGAATGCAATACAGCATCTGATGGGGGAGTTTTTCCAGGATGTGGCCTGTAATACCCTCTATCTCAGTAGAGATAAAAAGGGGCCTCTGGTGGCTGAATCTGGGAGGGAATTGCACACCCGATCCAAAGGCTGCACCTTTTGGGGCTTTGACTCTTTTTGGATTTACAGTCTCAGAAGCCCAATGGAAGGTCAACTGTTGACACCACAGTACAGTTAAAAGTCAGTTCTGACTCTATGGCAATGAGTTATTTTTTTAAGAGATAAAAGAGTAGAAAAGCAAGATGAGGATGAAGGAAACCTTCATCTGTACTGCCAAGAAGTAATCAGTTGGAGTGGAGTGTATGCTTTGGCCCTGGGCCCTTGCACTGGAAGGCTAATATGCATGAAGTTCCTCAAGGAACAGTGAGCCTGTTTTTCCTTTAGAACCGTTAGAGAGGGACTTCCTCTAGAGCTGGTCCCCTGAATTGGAACTTCTAGCCTCCTGAACTGTTAAGAGAATGCACGTGTGGTGGCCCCGTTAGAGCTGTGCTAGGTAACGAGGACACCTGGCATCTAGGTTCTACGTTGTTGTTGCTGTTAGATGCTGTCGAGTCAATGATGACCTGCAGGGTCCTGTGAACAACAGATGTGAAGCCTGGCCTGGCCTGTGCCACCATCACCATCTCTGACATACCTGAGCCCGTTGCTGCAGTCACTATGTAAAAACATGGAATTGCTTCATGAACTTGCGTATTAGTCTCCGGGTGGACATGAACCTCCCACTGTCCATAGTTAATCATTTTTCACCACTCCTCTTCAAGGTACAGAGTTAATACAGGGAATTAGGAAAAAAAGTCAAAAGAATCTGCTGACTTACACGTATGTATACATCGTCGCAATCTACCGGAGGCAGGCTTACTGGTATACTCCTAGGTAAGCAAATCTCAAACACAATTCGTGAGGAACAGAGAGGGCTTGACATTAAAATGGCACAATCTTAATATCTAAGGCACTATCTTGGACACCCACAACTAAAATGCTTTTCAGAAGACAAACAAGGTTGAGTGAAACTGGACTTGAAGCATGGACAGCAAGGATTTACTCAACCACACAGTGACCAAAACTGGAGGTTCAAAGAAGGGAGCGAGACTCAAACCAGAGGCCAGAGTGACCTATGCATGTGCCGACATCCCATAATGAGGCTTGCCATCACCTCCCAGACTCCCTTGCACCAGAGTCCATCTTGATGTTTTGTGCACATGCAAAGGAGGAAGGAAAGTTGCAATCATGACTGAAGTTGTGCAAATTCCACACCTCCCTAGACTCCTGAAAAGCACTCTTCTCTGTAAGAAACTGCTAGAAAAAGATCTGAGTGCTTATTACTCAGAAAGACATGTCTGCATGTTCAGCCATTCAAGGTTTCCTTCATGTCTAATAAATCTAGACCTTTCTAAACACATAATCATTTGATTTCTAGTCATTATTTTGACCCAGCAACATCACCAATCATTCAGCAACAGCATTATGAGAAAAGGAGGAGGAAGAAGAGAAATAGTGTGTTGTTACTGGTATTTTTTAAGAACTATATTTCCAGGTATGTTTAAAGGTGTCCTGGTTGGTACCATGGCTGAAATGCTCAGCTGCTAACCAGAAAGCCAATGGAGTTTGAACCCACTGGCCACTTCACAGAAAAAAAGATGAGTCTGTCTGCTTCTGTAGAGATTTACAGCCTTGGAAGTCCTCCTCTTGTCCTGCAAGGTCAGCAGGAAACAGAATTGACCAACGGCTGTGGGTCTGGGGGCTTAAACACAAGAAACAT